AACAAACTGATAAATGAAGGATGACAATGTGATCGACAGTTGATCCATAGAAGCAGAAAAAAGATGGTTAAACAATAACTTAATAGGTTTGATAGCTACACTTAACCTGCAAGGCTAGAAGGTTTACTTAATAAGGATTTTTTCTCATTATATATGGGTTTGGGCTGTTAATCTTTACAGGGGGAAGGCATGCCCATAAACAAAGGGTTTATGTGCCATACGGAATTGTAAGTTGAATTACAGCAAGATCAAACAAATTATGGCTGCCAATAACTTTAAGAGAAGAAGGAAGTACTAGTCAACAATAAGATTTATACACCGCTTTAAGCATCACTCACCTGCCCGTTGTGAAGGAGTTAATTATGTCCTCTTTCAATTTGTCCTTTATGCTACTTTGGTGTAAAATGGTTGTGAGTTATGACCTTATTTATTTATTTATTTTTGGTGAACAATGGTTGTGACCTTATATTATAATGATTTGCAGCCAAGAAATGGATTAATGGAATTGAAAAAGAAATGAAGTCCTGGATTATTTCCGAAAATTTCCAGCCTAAGAAGCACAATAGTGTTACAGTTCCCTACTTACTCCTTGTATAGTTCCAAAGTTCTCACAGCCACATCAAGTGCAAATCTCCCCTGGTTTGCCTTGCCAACCTGACAATAAACTCGGACTTTGACCCCTGCATAGATGTTGAATTCACTTAAGAACAACAGGAAGGTCAGTACTAACAAACAACCACTACCTAAAATGTACAAACCAAATCTTTTACCATCGGAGGTATGATTTTCCACGTAATCAAACAAACCAACAACAACCGCAACCAAATATGTAGACATAATGGGTGATTCTTGATACGAAACTGTTTTGAGATTTCCATCTATTTTTTCGTCAACAATTGGCATGTTGGAAAGAGCAACCAGTTCTGAAGGCACGTCCAATGTGATCTTGAAAGTAGCCTGCAATATCAACCGCCAATGAAAAGTTGGCCCAGCCTCAAAGTATTTACTACCATTCATTAAAGCAAATTGAATACCAAAAGTCCATCCAAACCAGTCCCACTCTCTTAGGCCACACCACACAAACGATGAACCCAGAAGAATCTTATTATTTGATGTATTAAGCTTTCCTCGTTGCAACAAAAAATATTCTTTCTAGCTTCTTTAGTGCTTACAGAAGGTTCATTTACAAGGGAGGAGAGGGAGACAGACAAACCTTGCAAGCAGGTTCATCCCAACAAGGAAAGCATCGCCTGGCATCAGCTGGTTCAAACTGTGTAACTGCCATAGTCTTCTTCTCACCATTATACTCATAGGTACTGCACATGAAAAGTACCCGTATAAATTAATTTAAAAAAAAAAAAAAAAAAAACTGGAACTAGCCATCCATCTATTTCCTCAGAAAAAATAGGAAGCAATGAAAAAAAATTCCTGAACTACAGTTTCGATAAACTTATCCATATAAGTTGATTTTATAACTCATGAGAATTTCACTTTTTTATTTTCTTCTCGACCGAAAAAGTTCATCCAAACAGGACTTATTTAGACGCTAGTAGGGTTTTGAAATGAGCGGTTTACACAAAGTCGGTAGCCTAGAAAATTAATAATTAAGAATCAGTGATGAAAATACAGCCTGAAGCAGAATTGAGGTAAAACTTTTAGCTCATAACAGTTACCTCCTGTAGAACCCTTTCATTCTGTCATTCAATATTCCTTCAAAGCGAATGGCCAACACACCGAGCCCAATAGGTATTTTCTCTGGGAACTCCAATACCAGAATCTCGTCATTTTCAAACAACTCAACTCGTGAAGGTTTAAGAACCTGCATGGACATCCACGGGTTCTACATCATCAGCAACACTCGACAGAGAGTTACACAAGAATAAGATAATAGGAGGACGTCGGAAATGGATGAGAGATAGAGAGGACCTTGGAGGAATCTTGGATAGTGAATGAAACGGCGTCGTTGCAGACGGATAGTTCGGCGGCATTGAGGACGATGAAAGAGGTGGCGGCGACGACGTGGAGGTTGACGGCGACGGAACCTTCGAAACGGTGCGCGACGAGGTCGGGCTTGAGCTTAATGTCGTAGCGCTTGGGAACGGCGAATTTGGGAAGACGCGGTTGTCCTTTGAACTGATCCATCTGTATCTAGTCACAAATTCGCACACGGAACGAAATGAACAAGAGAGAGACAGAAAATGAAGTCGAGTGTTCAAGAATTAAGGTTGGATCAGAATCAGATGGGTATTTATACAGATCGCTCCCTGTTGTCTTGACCTTCACTCAATACGACGTCGCTCCCTATAGCTAACTTTGAAAAAAATTCATTATTCATACGATGAATACAAGACTAAATAATTTATTGAGAAAACAGTCTTTAACTCTTACTATCAAATTTACTGTAGTACTGCTTCATAAATAAATTTTGTCATGTTCATGACTATTTATACATTTAATTTTATTCTAATTAATTCTTAAGATTTAGCATATTTATAAGTATACACTTGAAATTCTTTTCTCTTTTTTTTTTCAATTGATTTTAAAATCTATCTATTTTATAAATAATTAGTACTATTTTTACCGATTAAGTTATTTATCTTAAAAGCTAATTATTCATTAATCTTGTTCTTTTTTTGTTACAATTCGTTATTATAATAAAATATGAATTCAGAAGAAATAAATTAAAACAATCAATAAGTTTTTATCTGATTTTTTAATTATATTCCTTTTTCATGTTTTAGTATTTGTAAAAATGAAAATAAATAAATAAAATTTAAAATAAACAAATGATTCAGATTTTTTTTAATATTTGTTAGTTGTTTAATTTTTTTTTGGTAAAGTACTGACAAAGAAAAAAAATACAAAACAAAATTACAATCTGACGATCGGACCTCCAGCTATGTCCGCTAACACCTACGACTCTACCTCAGGTGGGAGGAAACAAGTTCCTCCACCTCTAGACCTCGCATTTGTCCCTGTCTAGCCAATAGATCAGCACACTTATTCCCTTATGGGAAGGAATGTTCAAACTGAATCGTCCAAGGCCTATGCACCAGCTCCTTAATTGAGTAAAGGATAGCCGCCAATCTATGAGAACTTTGGATATCATGCGTAACAAGCTCAACCGCTACAGCTGAGTCTGAAACGCATAACACAGACTGCGTGCATCTGCTCCAAGCAATTCGTAGCCCGTGAAGAATGGCAAGTAATTCCACCTAAAGGGCATCGACAACCTCAACCGCCCCAAAGAACCCCCATAGCCACCTATCATTGGAGTCTCTTGCAAGACCACCAATGTCTGCTTGACCTGATGCTGCATTGAAGTTGCCGTCAACATGTAGACTAGTTTGTAGCCCCTCAGCAAAGATACAAGAGACCCACGTAAGCCCCGCATCATGTGGTGTGTGTTCATCAGCTACCGCAAAAGCACGTACCATGGTAGCACGCAAAGCCTGGACCCGACTTAAGGCCTCCCACACAGAAGAGTCACACCCATTAAAAAATCGTTCATTACGCATCTTCTAGAGAACCCAACAAGCAATGAGTGGAAGGATATGGCACCTTTGAAAGCACAACTTAAGCCACTTTGGCCAAGATCCCGACCACCAACAGATCGCCTCCTCCAAATGTAATAGCCGCCACAATCTGACTGCATGTTCACAGCGAAACAACACATGCGCAATACTTTCCACCTCGTTTCTACACCTCAAACAAAGCCCATCAGGAGTTACATGTCATTGCACCAACAAGGCACCAGTGGGAAGAGCATCATGGCAAACCTGCCATAAGAAAAATCGAATCGACTCCGACAATGGAAGCCTCCAAATCCATTGCCACCCACCGGAAAGGACCACATCCCTATCACACAGCCACCGATACCCTGACCGAGCTAGGTATTCACCGTTTGTAGAGGCCTCCCAAACAATGCCATCCGACGCGGGGGGATGCAGCCAAATTTGCATGCTAAGGATTCTTGCCTAGAGTTCTGTTGACAGTCAGGAATGGAGTTGTTCTAAATGCCACCTCCCATCCTGCCACACATCCCGCACACGTAAAGTTAAATCATGTAAATGAACAAAAGGTGCCTCGTTGCAAGTGGCCCTTCATGACACCAATTCTCAAACCAGAAGCTGGCCTCACCATCACCCAACTGGAATCAAAACCCCGGGTGCAGCTCCTCAAAAGCTTTCCACAAGGAAGTCAGAACATAAGAACCCGACCTTTGCAATAAACTAGCAACATTTCTGTCTCTATATTTTGCCATGACCACTCTTACCCATAATTTGTTCGTATGATGAAACAAATCCCAAATCAACTTACCCAACAACGAAATATTTTTATTCCGCGCTATACACACACCTAAACCTCCTTCCTTCCTTGATATAAGAAATTATTTATATAAAAGTGTTTGAGTATAAATTAATAAGTCGTGAAGTAATCAATTTCTCAGTAAGTCATTGATTTAATGAAGGGACTTTGTTCCTCAATTAGGTTCTTGATTTTAAATTTGTCAAAATGGTCCAATCTATTTTTCAAAGCCCTAAGTCATGATTTCTCAAATAAATTAGGGTTATTATATACTTCCGAATGATTATTAGTGACAAAATATAAAAAATTTTAATTTTAAAAAATATATTTTACGTCAAAATACAAATTTACTTATTTTAAAATGATAAAAATAATATTTACAAACTTCAAAAAGATGAATGACAAATTTTGTTTATATAAATCAAATTTAAAACTCATTCATCTTTACAAGAAAAAAAAGTATATATATATAAAATATTTATTTATTATGTACTTTTTTAAAGACATTTATACTTTTTTATTATATTAAAGTTATTATATTTATTTATAATTTCACACATTCAATTTAACACTCTTCCAAACATTTAAAAATGTAAATTAAAATTTGATAAAAATGTAAATTAAAATTCCTTACACTACCTTAGTTCAAAGAAGTTTTTTTTTAATATTTTTTTAAAATAATGTTGCAGAAGGTTGATACTTGAGACGAGGTGTGGAAAATAAAACAGTACGACACGACAGATGACAGATGTGGAATTCGAAAGCTCCGTCGTCAGTCGAACAGGGTTGACGGCAATTGCTCCTCCGTGCGTGAGATGAGAGAGAACAAAGCCTCCAAATCTTCGTCTTCAACGTCTGCTTGTGCCCTTCTTCGAGACGCATACCACAATTGCTTCAACAGGTGTCATTCCTAAACATTCTTTCCCCAAATTCTTCTTTCCCTCAAACCCTAACTGATTCCATTTTTCAAGGTGGTACGCCGACAAGTTCATGAAGGGTCACTGGGACAAACAAGAATGCGTTTCCGAGTGGCAAAAATACAGAGCGTGCCTTTCTGTAGGTCCTTACTCACTTATATGCTTTTCATCTATGGACCGTTACGTGATAATTACCCTGTAACTTTTGGCAGCAACATTTGGATGATAAACATCTGATTCGTTTCTTAGAGGCTGAAGGCATTGTTCAAGATGGTGGTGTTGCTTCTCAGTGACTTGCAGGGAGTTAGGTGATTTATGCATCAATTGATTGTACAACTTCATTGCCTAGCTTTTGATTGTATTGTTTAAATGTTAGAAACCAAGGTTATTGGTTTAAGAACGGAATCAAGGCAATTGACGTTGGATTCTTCAGTAGGAAATCAAGTGACAGGATTAGCTGCTGCAGGGTTTTAGGTTGTGTGAATCAGGCTTAATGGCTTATTGTTGTTTTACTTCTGCGAGGTGTTGTTGACAGAGTTGGGTGTCCATGCCTAAGCTCTAGGCAAGATTCATTGACTGAATCACTACTCATTGACAATAATTATGTTACTTTTGTATTTGCTTATTTTTGCAGCGTGATCTAGTGGCTGCGTTTTGGTCCCATTGTCGCCCTAATTGTAGAGTGGTCTTGTGTTCATCTCTTACAAGTTTCTTGACTTTGATATCGTAAAAGTAGTCAGGAAAATACACTCTCATATGTGGTGGAGCATATCATGGGTATAATTTGAGCAGTTTTCTCATGTTCCCTCTTTTATAGTTTTCTTTTGATAGAAAACGAAGTTAAATCATAGAGAAGAAAAGGGAAATGCAATTAGGAGTAAACAATGATTTCCTCCGAAGTAACCAAAAACAATAAACTAGAAAAGCTCAACTATGTGGCAAAGTCAGACATGAAAATTCCCTTGAAACAGCCTTGTATTCTTGATGTTATGAGAATTGTGCTCCAATTAAATACAATTGTGCTCTAAAGGGTAGAAAAGACTGCACTCTGCAATTTATTGAAGACAAGTAACCTGCCTTCCCTTATTAGTAGAAATTCAGCAAACCTGACTTCGGAAAAAAAAACATTTAGAACTGTTTGTGAAATATTTTAGATTTTTTTTTAAATGATAGACAAGGAATGGGGAAAGGAGAAATTGGCGTGAGAGTGCTGTTTTGGGAGCATTTTTGTGAGGACTGAATGGAAGTAGGGAGTGCGGTTGGGGTAAGTGAAGGAATAGGGTCATTTTTCTTATTTTCTCCACATCTCCATTATTTCACCCCATGAAACATTTAAACAATAGTACTTCATTCTCATCCAAAGTTGCAACATAACTACTAATCAAAGCAATCGTCGCTCGACCCCATCATTATGAACCCAACATCTTCTATCAGCCATGAAGGCCAGGTTTGATATGAAGTGAATCTGTTGTGAGTAGTCCCATTGTTAACCCATTGAGAACTCCAGGTCTATTTCAGACTAACATTTTGTTTGTGTTCTGTTTCAATTTCAAATTTGTTGTGTTATGTTTTTTAATTTTGAACTTCTTGGATTCTTTTCTTATAATCTGTCTTTTAATTTGTAAATGATTGCTTCTTGATTTATTGGTTGCCTCTAGATTATTTTAAGTTATCCCCATTACATAACTGTTGGTTCTTGGATTAAATAATATTTGGATATTATGATAGGTTTTTACATGGTAATTTTGTATTAGGTAAACTGCTATCAGTTGAGTTTACACTTTACAGACACTACATGAGTTTCAGGTAGACTCTGGAGTTTGACAACCTAGACAATGAGTGATGGGATGCAGAGCCCTAGAAGATATTAGGATGTCTTTCAACTGCATTCTGGATCTCTGTAATAACACTGTTGTTTTGGGCTTTGGAGGGGGGATATTAAGCTAAGCTGTCTTGCAAGGTTCAGTTATTCATAAACTCACTACTTCAAACGATTTCATGCTAGTCCCCCCAGGTCTTTGAAGAAATGAGTTTTAAGCAAGTCAAATTGATTTCCTTACTTACAATTTTATATATACATGATTCCACGAGTTAATTTGTGAGTTTCATGAACACCATCACAGCTGTGTCCTAGCATAAACAAACGGATACCCATATCTCAGGCTCCTAGTTTTAGTGAACCCATCGCAACTTTCTGCAATGAACCCAGTGGTCAAGCCATTATCTCGTATCCTCAGGTGAACAAGGTTAATCATGCATCAATTTCATCCACCATTATCTTAAGTAATTCTGAACCTTGTGATTTGTGAAGAATTAGTTATGTTCTTTTTGTGTCCCTTGCAAATTAACTCAGCTTGTGATTTGTGAATTTGTTATGCGTTCCGAGATATCAACACATTGTGATTGGTAAATTATTGGTTCGTGGTTTGCTCTGTATTCTAGCTGCTCCCGATACAGATATCTGAAATTGGTGGGGTATTAGATAATTTTTGGATATTATATGTTTTTTAAAATATTATTTCTGTATAACGTAAAGTCTTACAAGTTTATGACGATGCAAAAATTTATCTAAACTCTTGAGTCTTGAATTTGGCAATGGAAAGCTTGCTAGGAACATCTTTCATGTTATTTTCCCTTGTAGTAGGTTGGGCCTTATTAGAGTTTGTAGTTTTGGTGCAGGTTATCTGTGAACTCCTGTTGACGTGGTATTATGTTTTGCTGCCTGTACGTTGTATCCTTGTTTGAACAGAGCAAGTTTTGCATTTCCGTGAGAAATCTTGGTGGTTTTAATCCATGTTCTATTGCAACGGGATGAGTTGAAAATTAGGTGAGAGTGAATTAGCAAGGAACATAATTTCTAAAAGTTATTTTCTTCTATGAACAAGAAGAGCTTTTGATCAGAGAAAAAAAAAAGTTAATTGGGAATAGAGCATAGTCTGTTGATGTGGTTTTAATCCACATAAATTAACTGGCGAATTATCTTAGAATCGTTTTCAATAAAATTATTTAAACAAATTAATTTTAATTAAAATTGATTGTAACAATAAATAATCCAAATTTTCATTTGTCCTGAACACGTGTCGTAAATAATTTTTGCAAGGATCGTTTCTCAGCCAGTTTTACAATTTTATTTTCTAATTACTTAAATGTTGTTAACGAAAAAATTCACCAATTGAAAGACCTTAATCCCCTCTAAACCAAATAATATAAGTAAATCAGAAAACTCATCAAGATTTGAGAGCCTCCTTAGTCCATCTGCGGTATTATTATATTTATTTTGGGTGAATTTTCAATTTCCCACATTTTCTTAAGATCCAACTCTTTTGATTCAATCTTAGGATCCAACTACAGAAACGGCAATAAGATAAAAACAATTTTAATTTAGTGGTGTTGATGACAACATTGTTTCAATTAAGTGTTGAAATATGTTCTTTATATCAACAGTAGTTCGACTAAGTGTCGAAATATGACCATTATTCATATTAAAGTTATACCAACTATGTGTTCAGATATAAGATTTGTTAGCTACATTTCTTTTATTATTAAAAAATCACTTGCATTCTTTTTTTTAAAAAAAATCACTTATAATTTTTTTATGCTATTGTTTGAGTTTTTAAAATAATCAGAAGCCAAAAAGAATCTAAAAATTGATCCAAATTAGAAACTATTTTGAATACTTTATTATAAAATGAGTTTTTTTATAAAAAAAAAGTTTTTATGATAGTAAACAAGCATAATCTAGCTTTTACTTTTTTAATCTTTAAAAATAAGTACTAGACTATTTTACCTCAGACTTTTCTTTTTAAATTTGTAGGAAACTAGCCCATAATCTTTCAACATATTGTAATTTTGCAATTTCTAGTGTTGCTTTGAGTTAAATTTTATATAAATAATTTTGTTAGAAGCATTTTCTTACTCTTTATTATTTCTAGTAAGGGGGGGAAAATATGTTGAATTTTCGAAATATGTCAAAAATGATGAGAGATGAGTTAAGTGACTTAACGCACCAAAGATATGAAGAGTTGAAAAAAATATATTTAAAAGAGAAATTTTGTTATTTACTTTTTTTTTTTGGTTAAAAAAAACACATGTATTCTCTAAGAGAGAGACGATCTTAAAATTGAAATCTAAAAATTTATCTTATTAAAAATCTAAAAATTATAATATTAAAACTTTTTTCTTTTCATTACTTGATACAATTCGACCTCAAAATTATTGATTAAACTATAACAATCCTAAGTTAATTTATCCACACACTCACTTATAAATTTGATATATAATATCAAATAATTAATTCTCTAAAAGAAATATATAATATGAAAAAACACTATGTACCAATAATAAATAGGACTGGAGAATAATAATAATACTAATATAATGTACTTTTTATTGATGAGTTATAATAAAGTATTAAGGTTGTGTTTGGATTGAAGGATGGATTTGGGGGAGTGAAAAATAAAAGATTTGAAGAGAAAGAGAGTGGAAAGTGAGGTTGTTTGGATTAAGGAAAAGATAGTGAAATGTGAGTGGAAAATTTGTGAAAATTTGTGTAGAAATTGATTGATGTGATAGATAAAAATTAAAAGTTTAATAGATAAATATGTAATTTATACTTTTACTCTTGGATTAAAAATGAGTAGAATATTATTTATTGTAAATAATAATAATTACAATAAAATTATATTAATAGGTATAATTTATTAAAAAAAATTAATAAAAATGATAATATAATATTTATAATAATATTTATAATAATATTTATAATAATAAATAATAATAACAAAATATATTATGATAATTATATTTTTTAACAATTTTATTAATGTTTATGAAAGTGTTATTATTTTAATTTTATAAACATGTATTACTTTATTTTTTTTTATATTTCTACTTTTTGATGTCAATATTTAAATAATAAAATTCTTAATATAAAAAAATGTATAATAAATTTTTTGAAAGTTAATTAATAAATTAAAAAAATTGATAAATCATTGAATAAATTAGAATGAAATGAAGATATATTTATTAATTGTACAAGTTAATTTTTATCAATTATAAAATTAAGAAATTTTTAACATTACAAAGTAGATGGAAGTAAAAATATGTCATCATAATCGATTATATATGGCACATAATCGATTATGAGGCATAATCGATTATGTCAGCCCATAATTGATTATGTGCCCATGCATAATAGATTATGTTGGCTGGGGATTCTGTTGCATGGCACAGTCTCTGCATGCATGAACATGGCAGAATTTCTTCTCTTTTCAACTTTTGGACAGGGTATTATCAGGTTTTCTCATTTCTTACGTGACTTTCATCTCTTGTCTTCACAACTTCACGAGGAACGGCCACGCGAATTCTCTCATTTTTCTTACTTTTTTTTTTTTTTAGTGCAAATCAGCAAAAATAAACGTTAAGTTTCTTCATCTTTCGTTCATCGTGAACAATAAATTTCCTGAAACAAACATGGGTTAAATGTAAGGTAAGAGTATAATACCCTGTAACCATTAAAATAACAGTTGAGATAATGAACAGAATGAAAGAGTAGAATAATGGGAAGCCTTAAAACCTGAGTTCTGAAAGTTTTGTTCTTAGGGAAGGTGGTGTGAACAAGATGTTCCAGGTTGGCGGTGAAGGTGACTGTATATATGGCGCGTGTGAAAGCGACGGGTTTTCCTTGGCATCAACACCGACATGAAATTGAATAGCCTTTTGCGGTCCAATCAAACTTTGCAATTCTTTTGTTGTTTTCTGTTACCCTGCTACGTTAAATGTGAATGCAAAGACTGACCCCAATGCCACGCGTCAATATCTCATCACAAACCTGCCTTCGTGTCTATGCCATGCGCTTCTTTTCTTCCATCCACCGCTTCTACTCATGCTTCAACTTCCAATGCCTTCCTAGTGATGCCAATAACGTTAACTTCTTTTGCATCTTTTCTGCTATCTACAGTCCCATGCCAAGTTAAATTAAACCAAAGGAATTTGCTACATAGCCATCAAATTATATAGTTCAACTAGACTTATGTAGATCGTATCCAAAAGTTTGATTCAGCTATGAAACTAACCTATTCACTTACAGGAGTAGAGCATTAAAATTATTTAACTAGCATCACTTAGTATTGCATATATGTGATGTTTCAAAAGAATGAAGTTCTAAATTATTTAAAATTAGTAAAATATAAGTATTTATATACTAAAACGTGTTTAACATTTTAAAAAGGTAAGCAAGTTATGAGAATGAGTTTCATGCGTGTATTTTAGTGCAAATCCTTTAATTTGTCTCCCTTGTAGGATTTCAAAACATTTTTATTTTCAATTACTTTTTATTTTATTTAAAATAAGACTTATGTAAATTATGATCGTTTTATAGTTACTTATTTTTTTACTGTTAACTTAGTCTTCAAATCTTATATGTTTTCATCATGCTTATCCGTTGTTGATCAAATTTTTATGATAAAATGTTTTATTCTAAACAATCATTTTTATAAGAATTTCTGGATTTTCTCTTTAATTTTTGCACGGTTTATAGGTGTCTCTCAAGCTCTTCACGCCTATATTTAAAGACTTCTGTCTCATTGTTTTATGTCCTGTCACGCTCGAGTTCTCTCTTCTATCTCTGGGTTCTCTTTGCTTAAATTTCTTATTAGTTCTACTCTTCAACTCATTATTGAGATGACCATGTTATATATGGAGAACTTGTGCATGCAAATAAGTTGTTAAAATTATTATTTTCTAACTCATTGTTTCAAGTGCTAGTGCCGCTCGCCATTTTCCCAATTCTTAGTACAAGCAAAAATTGTTCTGTTTTTATACGGGTCTTCTCTTGCAATGTCTTGAACAGTAATTGTTCTCTGGTTACAGCATATTAAAAATGGAACTACTCCAAGAATGGTTAAGCATAAGCTCATGAACAGTGCATTTTTTGCTTGCTAACAACCACGAAATACTTGCTTTTTCAAAATTAATGTAGAAAGTGCCTTGTTCTGTTTTAAGTAAAGGGATGATAAAACGAGAATATTCGGATTTCGTTAACCAATGTCCTCCATGGCAATCAAGTTACTACGATAACATTAAGTATATTATTATTAACTAATCTCTCATTTGGATAAATAAAGGAACTGGAATACTAAAAGCCCCTGAACCTTATACATAAAACCCTGACATTGACGATTACAATTAATCATACATTTGTGGGAGGGGCGAATATACTGTACCATTTAGTTACAAAGCTCCCTTTGAACAAACAATGACACGTAAGTATATCTAGAATTAAAAACAAGCTAAAGAATTATACATAATCATCTTAAGTCTGAAATTAACCTTGATGAATTTTCAGTTCCAATCAAAGAAAAGAAGTGCCAGCAAGTCCATGGTGCAAAAGGTAATGCGCGATAGCATCCCTGGCCTTGAAGGAGCTAACAGATCTGGAGGCAACCTCTGGTTCCACCAGGTTAGCATGATCATCAAGATCATCATCATCATGATGATGATGAAGAATGCTGAAAAAGTGAGGATCCATTTCCTCATTCTTCAACTCGCAAATATTATGCAACACACAACAGGCCCCAAGCACAAGAGGCAAATCTTGAAGCTTGACCTCAGTCCTCTTCTGAAGGCACCCCCACCTAGCCTTCAACCTCCCAAAGGCGTCCTTAGCGACCCTCCTGACCTCCCCAATCTTCTCATTGAAAGCGTGCTGCGTCCAGGTGAGGTTCCGCTGCGTGTAAGGCACCAAAACCCAATCCAACAAAGGGTAGCCACAGCCCCCAACAACCCAAACCCCACTCAGATTAAGCCCTCCGTTACTGGCCCTGTGAAAAAGCGCTGACTTTTCCAAGACCTCATCATCAGCCATGGACCCTGGCCACCCAATGCAGACGTCCGTGAAAACCCCTCTATGATCAACCACGCCCTGAACCGTAACGGAGTAACAAGTCTTTTGGTTCCTCTCGGTGTGCCTCTTGTTGAAGTACGCAGACACACTCATCTTGGGCGCTATGATGGGAACATGCGAAGTCAACATGGACCCCACAACGTTGGGGATCCCAGAAATGTTCTCGAACTCACCCTTTATGTCTCTCAACCCAACAACGTTAGGCCATTGCAAATACTTGGGCATCAGCACTGTTCTTATCGCACTGCAAACTTCCAGAACCAGTTTGTGGCAAGTGGATATTCCCAAACCGAATCTTCTCGAAACCACGCTCAGAGGGTCGCCGGTCGCCAACCGCCACAGACACACCGCCACCCTCTGCCGCACCGGAATGACGCTCCTCAGCGACGTGTCTTCCTTAGCGATCGCCGAATTCAGCTCCTCGCAAAGCTTTCCAAAGGTCACCCTCCCCATTCTGAACGCCTTCCGGAACTCTTCTTCTGGAAACTCAGCTTTCTCGCACTCCTCCCACCACGCCCCCGAACGCTCCTTCACCCAAACCCGCCGCTGACTCCCCGACTCACCGCCGCCGCCGACCTTTTTTCTCTTCTTTGCGTTGGACTCTTCCACATCGCTGTAGTAACCATCCTCCATGTCCTTCTTTTTCTTCTTCATTTCTTCTTCATCTCTCGCTAGCATAAGTGTTGTGAGACTGAGGATGTTTTTCAGTCCCTTCTTCTTTTTCTTCTTCTGGCTTGAACCATCTTCGTTCTTATTAATGCGCCGTTTTCTCGTGGGTTCCTTCATTGTAACGAAGGAATTCACGACCACGGATAATAGTAATAACGAAGGATGTTGGATTGGATTTGGTGTACATACGATGAAGTAATAGTAAGATCCTTTTCGCGATTCTCTCTCTCTCTCTCTCCCTCCGACCATGTGTTTTTAATGTGGGATAAACCGTGGTGTGAACGGGTATTTGAAAATTATCATGAATCGTTTCCGATGGAATTTAATATTGTATACTAGGTGGCAATTGAACCCGATTTAATCTTTTTTAATTTCCAAGGTAGTTAATTAATTAATGACGAACCTTAATCGTGTATGGGAAGGATGAGAGAAGATTTATGTTACAATTTAAATATGTTTCACGTACGTTACGGTGGGTGCGTTCATACTCAGCTAAATACACACTACATGAATTTTAATTTTTTAAATTAATTTAACGTAAGGCACTGCTTTGACAAACTAACATATGAAAGGAAGAGGGATTTGGAAGGAGAGTGACAGGGGAGGAGCAAGTGTGAACACGATTGAGGATAGGAACATCATTTTAAATTGGACTGTCAGTTACTATTTGGCTTTGGTGGTGTTAGGTAAAGGATATTTACGATAATTTTTAGACTTGGGTTTCATAATTAAAATGATAAAATTTAGATGGAAGAGCAGTTTCCTATGTGTTCATTGTGCTTTTCTTCGATAAAAATTGAAGTTCTACTTTTGATAATATTCGTGTTTTTTTTGTTTTTTTTTTTAATTTAAGTTTTTGATATAAATTGGAACAATTTTTTTAATATAAATTAAGAAAAATTATTAAAAATAAATAATGATAATAAAAATTATATAAAACTAATTTTGTTATCAATTTTTTGTTAGAGATGATACAATACAATAATACTTTTAAAACTTTATTATAAATATAAATGTAAAATAATAAGCAATATTATATTAAAAATTATAATGACATTATTTGAGGACGGAACGTCTATGTTTATAGTTGATACAACATTTAATATTAAGAACATTCACATGTTAATTAGGAAAATTAGTACATATTATTTTATTATATACTAATATTAATTAGAGAACGACATTTAACAAATTGCTCGTTCCATACTAAAATATAAGAAAAAAAATTTCACATGTTAAATAGGAAAAAATTAGTACATATTATTTTATTATATACTAATCTCGTTTTAAAAATATTTTTCCAAATCGTCTTTCAACATAACTTAATATTAAGAATAGAAAAGGATCATTGTAAATAAATTCTCAATTAAATAAAGATTATTTTTTAGAATAATAACACTAAATAAAATGAAACTAGTTAGACTTAATTTATATTTTAGTCCATCGTACAATTATTTATTTATTTATTTTATATAAGTTTGGAAAGAGTATATCGATCTAATTTGTTTTCCCTTTTTTTAGAAAATAAATAGAGCTAGAAGAGGATATTTTCTTAACTAAAAGAATTATATAATATTTATAAAATAAATAAAGATTAACATATTATTTATTAATTTCATTTAATATATTTTTATTCCCTATAAAATAACTATTTTTTATTTTAATTCTTATAAATTTTGTTCTTTAAATTTTATTCTCAAAATTTTGAAATTATAATTTTAGTCCTTACTATTATGTGACTACTTTTAGCTACTTGTTTTATTTATTTATTAAAAGGTTATGTGACCACCTTGAATAATATACACAACTATTTGTAATAATTTATATTCATGTGACATTTTAAATTTTTTTTTAAAGACCCTTAACATAAGTATTATATTTATACTTTAAAGTGGTCATCATGAATAAAAAATAATAACTTTAAAGTTTAAAGAAATGAAAATCAAAAGAAAAATATTTTATAGGAATTCAAATTAAATTTTATTTATTTTTTAAGAATAAAAATAATGTTTATAATTTTTTAAAAGAATAAAAAATAAAAATAAATATTTTATAGAATTAAAATTAAAACTCGTTCGTTTTATAATTAAGAATATATTTAAGTCTTTTTAATCTATAATTTCTTTTTTTTAACTAGAAATATTTATCGGAGTAAATATTTTAAATGAAAAATTTACTTTCTCTCGTTTCCTCCCAAACATATCTATAGAGACTTAAAAGTTATTTAGGTCTTATGGTTACAAGTCAACTTGAAGAATCCAAAAATTTGACAATTCAATTAGCTTCAATGTGTTTGTTGTTTGTCTAATTCAATCAAACTTGATCACATTTAATTCGAGTAATGGTTTTATTAGATTCAATATTGACAATTTTGAGTTAAAAAAATCTACATGATAGTGATTTTAAGTTAATTACTTGTAGGTCACATAATTACTTAATCATTCATTTTTAATTTTGATCTTTATTGATTGATATGGCACATTTATTAGTTATTTTGTTACTACATTTTTTTATATCATAATATTGTATTTAGATATTGTTCTTACTAGGAATTTGCTGTAGAGATGATCCTCCGAGTACGATTGGTGAGCCTCCTTCGCTGGTACGCTTGATACTCCAAGATGGGGGTGGTACCTGCAAAAGAGACTCCGATGCTAAAGTTAGGGTTTATGTGAATATAAGTCTCGTATGTAATGCACGTACCTTGTTGTGAATTGGGGTTATATTGGGCCTTGGGCCTGAGATCAGTTGTGATTTAACTAGATATTGGATCTCATCTAGACCGAGATCTCATCAGATCAGTTATGATCTGGTTAAGTGACGAGCTGACGTCACGTAGCGCGTGTCCGAGGTCATCATGCGCTGTGATGCCGAGCTGGGAACTCAGCTCGTGGTACGAATAGTACACTAGCCCCCCGAGCTCCGAAGACCGTGGGTCGAGGAGTTTAAAACCGAGCTCGTCAGGGAGTAGTGACCTTTCGCGTACGTCTGCCTGTTGAGATGCCATGTGTCATGACTGTTCATTTCTCGAAAATGTGCAAGTGGCGCGTTAATGGGAGTGACGGTTATGTAATGATGGTTTCATCCATTATAATGGGCCTCACTTAATGCGTGGTCAGACGTGTCCCTTAGTTGACACGTGTCTTGACCGTTTGAATTTTGGGAAAAACCTTTTCTTTTCCTCGCGCTTCTTCTCATTCACTTTACTCTCTTTCTCTTTGTCTTCCTTCTTGGCTTCTTGCGCACGTTGCGTCTTGCATCTCCGTTCATTCTCTCTTTTTATTTTCTCTGTCTCCGGCGTCGTTCCTGGTAACCCAGTCGTTGTTAGGGTTATTTTTTGAGGAAGAGTACCAGGTACTTCCTTTCTGCCATTTTCTTTTTCCTTCTTCTCCGGTCTTCTTCGAGTCTTCTTGTTTCTTTAATGGCTGGTGGAAGTGGTGCTGGTTCTTTCGCGCCTGCCAAGGGTAAGGGCAAGGCGCGGGGCAAGGCGACGGTTGCCGGAACGACCGCCGCTGGTAAGAAGAAAGAGGAGGCGCCGCTAGCAGACCTCGTTCCAGGTATTCCTGGGTACGACTGGGTTCGTTGTGAGATGGCGGGGG